GATAATCTTCCTTCTCTCTGCAAAATCTCTTATCAACATCGGAGGAAAAGAGAGAGAGAATTAACAACAACATCCAGAATGATGTCCTGCCAGTGAGAAATGAATCCATTGCTAACTTGATGGTGTCACCTTTATTTGGTTCTGGCCCTAGAGAATGTATAGTCAAAACCCTAGGAAGGACCAGGTCCTGTTTAACTCAGGAATCCTCTCTTCAGAGTTCTGTCTAAACTAGAACTGCCACATATAGTGATAGCAGGAAAATGCTGCAAGTAAACAAATTTATAGATGCAAATAAACATCTGTTAGTAAAATCACATATATTTAACACCTTACTGTGAAGAGTGAACCAATGTGGATATAAGCATTAGAAAATTGGCTGCATGCAGTGGCTCATACTTGTGATCCTAGCAGTCTGGGAGGCTGAGGTGGGAGGATCGCTTAAGGCCAGAGTATGAGACCACAAGAAGAGCAAGACCCCACCTTTACAAAAAAGTAGAAAGATTATCCAGGAGTGGTGGTGAGTGTCTGTAGTCCCAGCTATTCGGGAGGCTGAGGCAGGAGGATTGCTTGAGCCCAGGAGTTTGAGGTTGCAGTGAGCTATGATGACACTAATGCACTGTAGCCTGGGCAATAGAGCGAGATTCTGTCTCAAAAAAAAAAAAAAAATCAATGATTTTCACATTGTAGTCTACTTTGAAGTCACCTTGGCCTATTGTCTCTTGGGAGCACATATGTGTCTCTCAGTTTATTTTACCAAATGTTAATTGATTTTGCACCATGTTAGTAGCATTCTTCCCTACAGTTTATATACAATGAGGTTTTCATTTGCCGATGCCTGTTCTTTGCAATCGCCCGTGCCCTGACTTTTTGCAGGATAGCCTTTGGTCTCTCCTGAATTTACTGTCTTTGAACACCTGCTTCATTTTGTTGGTGCTGAAACTGCACATGCATCCATTCATTGTGCATTGACCGAGCTCCGATTACGTTGTTTAAAGTTGAAGTTGTGTGTGCTCTGTAACAATGGGCTCTGTGACTGTCCGTCACTAGCTGTGTGACTGTGACCCTTGGTGCTGCTCTGAGTAACCAACTGCAGAAGGAGGCTTGTGCTAGGGCTGCTTCATGAAGTACTATTATTGAGTCAGTGTTTAGAAAAAGGTATTTAAAACAGGACTTCACACATAGGAGGTGCTAAATGAAATGGTAGCTAAATTGATATCATGCATTTCACACAGTGGTTTTCCAATGTGGCAGTCAATATCGTTGCAGTTTGAGAAGCCAAAACTGTCTATGTCTTAGGGGCTCGTGGTTGGTGTCTACATTTGACTCATGTAGGACTTCATAGAATGGATTTTTGCTAGTTTTCACGGCCCCACCCAATCTTATCCTGCCCCACCTGCCAAGGCAATCGAGCCTCAAGCCCATTTTTCTGTATTGCTGACTTTTGGGTCTTTGCTAGAACTACGGTACCAGTTCATCTTCATCATCACGCATGGGTTATTAATAATTACCCAGACGGTTGTCCTTTCATTAACTTGAAAAGAGACCTCAGTGTTCTAAAATTTCTCCTTTTGTCTTTTACGTCTTCCTTCTGAAAGGTTTTACTCGGTAGAAATTAATTTTATCTAAATTAATCCTGCAGTAGCGATCGTTAAAATCTGATGACTTATTTTTGTGACAGTAGGCCAGGTGTTGCCCGGTACTTCAGTTTATTTTAGAAAATTCCGGTAACATGACTAATGTTTGACAAATTCTGCGACTGATGCTAAACTGATGAGGTCCCCGTGGCTTCCATTCTCAAAGGTGAGAGATCATATCGTACTGTTCCAATGAGGCCCTCCTGATTAATTGCGGTGGAGGGGCTGGACTTTCTTTGAACCACTGCTCCATTCAGTCTGATAGCAAGTCTTTCTGGGTGTTACTCATTTCCTGTACTATTTTCATCACAAATACTGCTGTCTTTTTATTATGCAAACAAAGGATATAATTCACTGAAACCTAGTTGGACTTGCTTCTGCTTGACACCCTCCTGCCTTCTGTATTGACATTCTTCCACCTTCCAACCTCTATGTGTATGCCGAAGAGGCTCTGGCTGGGGAGTGTGGTTCTTTTTCTCCAGCAGACTCATAGGGATATTTTTGGATTATTGGTTATGATGAGTATTTATGGAAAATGTCGCTTTGCTCTCTGGTGAGCAATCGATGTTAAAGAGTCTGGCCCCACAGCTATCTCTGTGTCCCTTGAAACCATGTCCGTTTTACACTTAAATACTACCAAGTACAGCACCTTGCATGAGGCAGGACCCAGATCAAATTCCCTTAGCATTGATTTGTGTTGTGCCATGCACAGCGTTAAATGTTTTCACAGATTTATTGCATTTAATTGCCAATCAATTTTTGTTTAATTGGGTTCATAAAACGAATTGTATGAATTCCATTCTCATATTTTTTTTTTTTTTTTTTGCAATCACACAAGAGGAGGTTTATTTTCTGGCTAGCCAGGGTCCGAGCCCCAGAGAACCAACGCAGTGGCCACTCTCACAGGCAAGGACCCCGACCGGAACAACGGCATGCCTTTTATCCCCATGGTGCACAAGCTGCGCACAAACTGACTACGCCAGGATCATGAGTTGACCTTTAAAATGATTGGTTGCCCACTATTGCCTTTTGAAATAATTGGCGGGTTGGTTGCCCCCTATTGCCTGATGGGCCAGTCGCCCATGCTTTAATGATATTCTCATATTAATATTATGGCTTGAATGTGGATATCAGGTTCCCGTTGCAAATGGGATAAGCGAATTATTCCAGCCTTCTCCTGATCAGGAAGCTTTGGGTCCTCTGGTCCTCTTTGTTTCCCTGGCATCTCCTTTAGCGTTCAGCATTTCTTTTAGCACCCTCCTTGGCTCTTGGAACCGGGCTTCACCAGCCCAAAATTTTCACAGGTCTCTGCTCTAATGGGCATAAGGTGGTAAGAAAAGGAAAAAAGATCAGGGGAGTGAACAGAGAAGAAAAGATGAGCACCATTCTCAGTCGGTGTGTCTGTGAGTGTATTATTTAGGAAGTTTAAAATCTAAACTCCCTGTCTACCGTCCTGGCCTGTCTTGAAGGGTGCGAGTCAACTCGGTAGACATGGGCAAGGAAGTTTTAGGCTGCCTGGCTCGGAGATGGGTCAGGGTCTCATGAAAGTAATGTTTCGACACAGCCTTATCCTAAGGTGGCAGCCTCCAGGTGAGTGGAAAAGCGCATGAACCTGCTTGGATGTTTTCATGCAGGTCCAGTGTCACCAACTGGTGCTCTAGGTGGTTGGATGAGCCAAAGATTTAACAACATTCAGTTTCTTAATGAAATGGTTAGTTTGGAGACATCTGAATTACTTCTAAACCTAAGAGTATGGCTTTCTTTTCCTCAAGGGAGGTGCTATCCATTTTTGTCCTTGGAGGTAAGGCACTGTCACGATATGAATGTAGTTGTGTATGATCACTGAGGGCTCCTTATGTTACTCCCACTTCCTGAGTGATATCGTCCAGCTCATTGCTTCAAATGCCAATCCCACATGTCCACCGCATTCCAGAACTTTCCCAAACTCCAGACTCAGATGTCTCACTTCACACTTGACATCATCGCTGGGTGTCTAATAAACTTCTCAAACTTAACAAATCCTAAACTGAACTCTTGCCTGTCTCTCCAAACCGGTTTCACTTATCATTCTTCCCGTCTCAGTTGATGGCAGTTCTATTTTTTCCAATTGCTTAGGGCAAAAACCTGTAGTCATTATTGACGTCTCTCTTTTTCTCATGCCTGATATTCAACCTACCAGGAAATGCCATTGTCTGTTCCTTTAAAATATGCCTAAAATCTGTATACGTATCACCAACTCCTACTAACACCCTGGTCTAAGTTCCTGTTGGGGCTTAGAACGTGCAACTCCAAAATACAGCACCTTGGAAAGTGAGAAGATAGCAGAAACACCTCTTTGTCACTATCTGACCTTCCTGCACCTTTTTGTGTGATGGCCAGCCATAGAGGAACCTCTAACCTAACTCCCCTGAAAGCAGGTCACAAGACCCTATGTGACAGGTGCCTTGCGCCACACCTGGAGGAAAGGAATGCTATGGAGAGAGGCCAAGAAGAATCTGAACAAACAGGCCATTGCTAAATTCCCATTAGTTTATTACCATTAGATTATATTTTTTATCCCATCACATTTCTACACTACTGTCCGTTCTTCATGGAACCTAACATACAAATACACAGTTTTCCCTGGGTTTCTGGGTCTTCATTTCTGAAAGCTCTATGTCATGTAAAACTTTGGTTTAATAAATTTGTTGTGGCTTTCTCTAGTTAATCTCTTTTGTTATTTCGGTGTCAGCCATGACCTTGGTGATGGGTGAGGAAAAGATAGTACTTTTCCTCCTCTACTTCACCCCATCACCTTTTCCTGAGTGATTCCTAACCTCCTCCATGTCTTTATGCTTCCACCCCATCCTCCTATGGTTTGTTCTCAACATAGTAGCCATGAGTCAATCTCTTTTCATTCTTCTGCAGTATTTCCCCATTTCACTCCAAATACTCAATATCCTGACAGGGGCTTTTAGTTGCTACAGCTGTGTAACAAAGCATCCTTAAACTTAATGACTTTACATCATCATTTATTAAGTGTATGAATTCTGAGAGTCAGGAATTTGGACAGGGGAAAGTGGGGATGGCTTGTCACTATTCTGTGATGTCTGGGTCCCTCAAACTCAAAGGTAAAACCATCTGAAATCTTGTTCACTTGTGTATCTGGAGGCTGATGCTGGCCATAGGCTGAGATCTCTGCCCAGATGTCAGCTGGAGCACCCACACAATCCAATGGATTTGAGTGTTTTCCAAACATAAGATGTTATTATCACTAGCGGCTCGACCACAATCCTTTGGTTTTGGGCTTTTAGTTGAACAATTCTGGGTTTTGTTCAATTTTGACTGCAATTGCATTCACTTTGGATTTTTTTTTTTTTTTTGCAGAAATGTGTGTGAAGGAAAATACTGTGAAATACATGGAAATGCTTGAGGGTAAACTGTGCAGGTAAGGATAATAATTTCTGCATTATCGATTTCATGGCACATCTGGATTCTTTATTATAACAGAATTTAGTTAAAGTGATGAAAAAGGCTAGCCAGTTTCTATAATAAACTTACGAAAAAGACACAAAGAAGTCCTTTGAATCTCATAAGTGAAGAAGCAGGTGTCAGCCCTGATCTTCTCTTTTAAAAAGTAAATAGATTAAGACACTTAAAAGTGTCTTGGAGAGATCACAGGATAGTTTTCATGTTCTATAAGAAAGAGAAGAATCTTCTTTGGTATATTAAATTCAGAATTTATCCCTTGTCTGATTTTCCTTTTTTATTTTAAGTGTCTGATGGGGGTCTTAAGGATTTTGAACCAGTTTCTACATGGTTTGGAACAATATAGAAATGCATGTCTTAGGTTCTGTTTTGAATCCTGAATCAAAACCAGCGTGAAAATTCCTGGTTGCTTTTTTTTTTTCCCTAACCCAATTAGGAATTCAGATTTGAGAAATGTTAGGGATGCTGCTACATGTCAAGATGTTTCTGGCTTTTGTGGGTGTGCACTTATGAAAATAAATCCTAGTCATCAGGATCTGCTCCTGATTAAGAAAACAAGTACGAGAATGTAATGTGTGCTTTCTTCCCTGGGAGTCATTTAGTTTTATGGAGATCATTTTGCTACTATTTTGGAAATTGTTAAGTAATTCTTTATATAGGCTATGCCTTAAGCTTTTGTCTGCTAGGATAATGCCATCGGCTAAAATGCTGCTGCTTTCTAAGAGATGTTTAGAGGGCCTGCCTTGCTGAGTCCTACTCTTCAGGGTAAGCAAGGTCCTACAGGATTTATTCTAACGCTGGGAAAGAAAGTCCTTGACCACTGCTTGCTCTTTCTCTAATTCCCATGGCCTCAGGCTTAACAGAGGTGGGGGGTGGGTGCATAAGGGGGAAAAACATCTGGGTCAAGTGCTCTACTGAGCCCGGTCTTCCTCCTCTCCCGTGTGTTCTGAGGCAGGTTTCTGGCATATCACTCTTGCTCTTACCCTTGGCCACCATTGTTTTAGCCACAAGCACCGCACACATCATAAGTTAGGTTATTGGGCAGCAAGTTGTAGCCAAAGTACATGGGTATTAGTGGAGAGATGCTCATTGAAATTGTAGCTCTACCATTTATAAGCTGTTCATACCTAGCCTCAAGTAATCACTCATCTTCAGTTTTTCTAGCTATAAAACTGGAAGGGGTCCTACCTCCCAGGGCCAGTGTGTGGATTTAGATAAATATTGCATGTGAAGCACTCACATGGTTGGCACTAGGCAAACATTAGTTCCCTTTTTCCCCTTCCCCTCTCCTTATCTGCAGAATTGGTTGGACACACAATGCAGTAATCAACACACAAGACATATGAGAGATTTTTCCCCACCACCAAGTCAGCAATGCAGTGGACACCAGCTGGGTGTCCTCCAGTGCAATTCTGACACGACCTGCCTGGAGATGGCATCTGATCCCGCCCACAGGTTGAGAGCTCAGCTGCACAAGCCTGCCCCCAACTTCCAACACTCATCACAAGTCCCAGGTTGTTTCCTATGGCTCTCATGGACCAGCTGTAAATCGGGGATCCCAAGACCCCATTCTTAGAGTCAATTAATTTGCCTGGGTAGCTCCCAGAACTCAGGGAAACACTTAGAGTCACTGATTTAATAAAGGATATTATGAAGGACACAGATGCAGTCATGCACAGGGTGAGGTATGGCGGAGGGGCATGGAGCGTCCAAGCTCTTTCTGGCCACACCATCCTCCAGGAACTTCCACGCGTTCAGTTATCTCAGAAGCTCACCATACCCTGTCTTCTTGGGCCTTTTATGGAGAAGTCATTGGATAGGCATAGAAGCGTGGACAAAAGGGTACGCTGTAATACTGACAGCCTGAGTGGGGAAACCCAGCAAAGCCTGTCCGTTCAGATTCTTCTTGGCCTCTCTGAGCAGCGTCCTTTCCTCCAGCATATAGGGCCAGACCCCTTCTGAAATGGGGGTCTTATGACCCACGATCAGACCAGGCAGTCAGAGACAGAAAGGTAGGAAAGGATTGGGAGGAATAACAAGGGCTGTGGGAGTTCAGAGCCAGGAACCGTGGATGGAAACCAGCAGTCATGCCCAGCACGCATCCTCTCTCCCTCCACGCCGGCTGCTCCTCCCACGTGCTCACCCTGGCGCACGGCCCACTGCGCACCTTGCCTGGCTGCCCTGTCTCTCCCCTTAAATGACCATATTAGCAGCTTTCTCTGCTTTCCTGTTTCCTTTTCACTGCATTCTCCAGCTGGTCTTGAGCGAGCATCTTAACATGCCCATCTGGTCATTGCACGTGGCTGCCTGTTGTCCTAAGGACAAAGGCTGAATGCCTTCCTGTGGCTCGAGGTGTGCTTTCCCACCTGGCCTCTGCATGTCCCTGCATGCCACCCACCACCCCCTGTCACCACCCTACTCCTGCTGGGCTTGTTCCCTTACACTTCCCAATGCCATTGTGCTTTCTCTGGAAAGTAACTAGTTAAGAAGGGGAATGGCTCAGGAGTATCATCCGGAGAAGTATTAATATCAGCTTGAACCACAAGAGACTGCTGGCATTTGACCTTTTCTGACCTGGACAAATGGCAACTTTATATGGTTCCACCCAGTACTTTGGGACATGAAGTCATCTCCAGGAGGGTGCTGTGGCCTGATGCTGTCGCCTGGGACTGGCCAGTCTCCTGGCCGTGATGCACATGACATGCTTGCTCGGTCCCTCCCTTTGAGTGTGCCCTGGTGGGCCTCTTGCAGCCCACTTTCCCCCTCCAGGCCTTCCTCTGTCTGGTCCTCTTTCATCTTTCGAGTTTTAGAGTTCTCCTCTCTGAAGCCCTCTAGGACTCTCAGATCCGAGTAACATGCTGGCACTGAATTCTTCTTGCTAAGTGCTTCCTGACAGGCACTGCAAGACTAATCTGCCTTGTTCAGGGCTGTGTCCTCAGTGATTTGCCAGTGCTGGAGGGTGTAGGGGTGATCAATAAATGTGCTGAATGAATGGTTGCCTGAATGAATGAATGCAATTCATTTATAGGCATCCCAATCTCACCTCCATCACCTCCCACCTCTCTCCTTGCTTTTCTAGCCAAGCTGGTGTTCCAAAGCCACTATGTGCTTTGCCTCCTGGCTCACACACACTAGTTAACTAGGATCCCTCTGCAGTCTCACAAGGCCAGGACAAGAGTTGGCCCCTCCTGCAGCCCACTTCTGGAAGGCTCTTTCTGTTGCTAGTTCAAGCTGGTAGGAGACCTGGCTTAGTGGAACTGGGGGCGGGGGGAGAAGCAGCCAGAGCCTTGTAAGCACCCTGGCAGCAGGCAGCTTTATTGCTGCCCCAGAACAGGAGGCCAGAGCAGGCACTGCCAGGCCACCCTCAGCCCCGCACATGATAGTGCCCAGTAGCGCGGGTTGTTCTTAGACAGCCCGCCGCGGCTCCACTGACGACTGTCACACCCCCAGTTCCTTCCCAAGGAATCAACATCTTAAAACAGGAAGGTAGTTACAACACCTGGTACAGTGTTGCATCGCAGTGACCGCTCAGTTAATGTAGCAGGATCTCCACTAAAGCAGGTGGCAGAGGTGACTGAAAACTTTTGTTACCTTTTCCCACTGTTTTCCATCTCTGGGTCTTACAGAGATTTAGAAGGAAAGCAGCTGAGACCGGAATGCATTAGAATGTTGTAAAGGATCCACTTAAAGATCAGGCTCACGAGGCTCGGATCTGCCCAGTCACAGTTTCAGAGATAAACTCAACGACAACACTGTCACTCTCTCTCTCAAAGTGCACAGAGACCTGGAAACCCGAATACCGAGACAAACTCAGGTAGGCTCAGTGTCCACTCTCTAAATCAAGAAAGTCAAGTGCAGTAGAAAGCCAGGAAGCATCTGATGCTGTCAACAGTTCGAAAGGACGTCCTGCATGAGACAGAGCAAAAAGTGGGCAAGCGCTAAATGAGGACTTTCAGCGTCTATTTAAACAAGCATTTGCCTTGTAATCTTCTGAGTTAAAATTTAGATGTACGTATGTTCCTGTTCATCCTTCCACAAACGACAGATACCATTTGTGGATTAAAAAACCAATATATCCCCACCTGTTTCAGAGATATCCCTCCTTTCCCTTGTCTGTAGCCAAATAGCCAGGGGGTGGCTGCAGCCAGTCCCAAGGTCCCCACACAGACGCTCTCCTCTTCACTCCCACTGCTGCTACCTTCGATTGTGTTCTTTGAATAATCTCCTGTCAGTCTCCCCCACCCCTGGTTCACACCATTTCATTCGATCCTTCTCCCACAGCCAGGATGACTTTATTTCCACCGCACTAGGCTCCTTTTGCACCCAGCACAAATGCCACAGTCTTTGTCATGCCCCCTTCTCCCCCTCCCTTGGCCATTCCATGAGGTGGCCCCAGTCTACTGGTCCAACTTCATCACTGTAACCCCCACCTGCTCGATGGGTGCTTGACGCCCCATACTTGCCCGGTTTCCCAGATTTGCTGGGCTCTGCAGGGGCATCTTTGGGGATCCCTTTCCCACCTGGCCCCTGGGTGCACTCTTACCTGCAGGACTCGGAGCAACAGTCTGTCTCTAAAAAGCCTTTCGGGCCTCCTCCTGCCCCCTGGTTGGTACCCACTGGGGCAGCCATTTACCAGAATCTGTTGCAATGACTCTGTCCATCTAATTCTATTAGACTGTAGAAGGGTTTCGTGCCTTGCTTGCCTTGTATTTTAGGTGATTGGCATGCTGTTTGGTGTATGGTCAGCATAAAATTATATTTGAGGCAAGAATAAACAGCAATTTTATCTTTTTTTTTTTTTTTTTTTTTGAGACAGAGTCTCACTCTGTTGCCCAGGCTAGAGTGAGTGCCGTGGCGTCAGCCTGGCTCACAGCAACCTCAATCTCCGGGGCTCAGCGATCCTACTGCCTCAGCCTCCCGAGTAGCTGGGACTACAGGCATGCGCCACCATGCCCGGCT